GGCGAACCATCAAATCAGGCGCCGCTCTTAGCGAACCACGGCTCTTGGGGAACCATCAAAACCGATGCCACTTGAGGTAGCCACCAACACCGGCGCCGCTCTAATACGATTACTGATTACGAACGCGGGCGACAGAACTCCGCCGACATACAGTCCATGCCCAGACCTGCGCCAACTCTTACCCCCAAGGTCAAAAGTGAGACGCAAGATTGGTTACATCTCAACACCGGCTTTATCATAGATTTAAAATTATCCACGAAGATAGACCGTCGCCCCGCAACGAATCTATTGAAATCATCGTGTTTTGGTTTTTTTTAGCCCAGTTGGTGCAGAAGAGTTAGACGTTAAACCCTATTTCATTTCATTTATAATGAAATCAAAGTTATTTATTTATTCTAACACAGTAATTCAATTTACTACAGGAGATGGTAGTCTACCAGGCGCGTGTCCCGAGGGGTGGGGGCAAGGGTTCCGGGCCCATCCTTGCTGGCGCAGCGCATAATTCCGTCCTACATTCAAGAAAATAACATTGAAGAAACTAAAGTGCAAAGTACTACCCCCGTTTTCCCTCCCTCCACTGTAATCATATACACGTATGCAACTAAATGAACAGAAATATTGTCTCAAAGCTTCTGATTTGATCAAATTCGCGGGTTGTCCCCCCCCCCTCCCCCACCTAACGCCAAACTTGACGTTGTCGCCACCTTAAACCCACCGCTGCTCAAATATCTGGACACGCCTCTGGGTAGTTATAGGCTCTCAATGAGAATATCAGGCGCGCGCCCGGCGCACGCTCCTCCCCCCCTCCTATTTTTTTGCGGTGGCGAACAATGTTTTGCCCCGTATATTCTTGCCGGAAAGGAGAACAAAAATACTTAAAAATGGTAGTGATCCCCGTCGTAATTTACTCCGAAACGAGCCGGTTGGTGACTTGGTTGATTGTCCGTCAGTCCGCCCACCGAGGGCCGGGCTTCGCACTCTCTCAAGTGGGGGCAGCACGCCCCCCCCCCTCTCAAAATCCTGGATCCGCCCCTGAATGTCTATTGTTCGAATCCCAGCAGAACAGCCGAGAACATTCGCCATAATCTGAAACACGTACAACATATACAAATACTTAGATTAACTAGAAAAGGAAGTGTACTCTCGACATAAACAAACATACCCAGTTATCTCAATGCTTTAGCTATTAGCTTCATTTTCATATTTAAAATTTACGATGGTTAGAAGAGTCTGGCAAGATCCGGAGCACACAGTGGCGTGGATGTAAAAAGGCCCGTAACTAGCCCAGAGCAAGGAGAGTGGTGGAAAGTGTTCTCAGGGGTGCTGTAAAATTGACGGACAATGTATATCTATTGTTTTTAAGGTTCACAATTTTTTCACAGGGGGGGGGGGGGGGAAACTTTTTGCAGGGGGGACTTTGCCCCCAACCTCCCGTGCCCCCCACCCACAATTACGGGCGTGGATGTAAACGAACGATTGGCAGCTGGAATAAGAAGAAGAGTAGGCGCTGTTCGGGCAAAATGTTCTTCATAGCACACTGTAGGGCATATGTCCGTCTTTATTATCCCGGTTGGTGCAGAAAAGTAGACGCTGAACCAGATTTCAACTTGAATATTAAGAGAAATATATATTATAATAGGTCTGACTAGCTGTCGTGTATCTTAAAGATATGCAGCCAATGTAACCGTGATGGTTATTAACTGAATGATATTTTTTAATGGTGTATCGTAAATATTTCATGATGCTGACATTCAAATATCAAACTTTATGGGATCATCTATCTTCTCTGTTCTAGAATCTTGTGGTATAAATCTCACCCTTTCACATATTAAAGGGGCCGGGGAGGAATAGTTAGATCGTGCGCGTTGTATTATAAGGTCTGTCATTGAGTATACTGGTTTGGTTTCGATTTCCTGGTTGTACGTGACAAGGAGTAGGGTCGCCTGTCAAACATCGTGGGTTTTCTCCGGGCCCTCCGGTTTCCTCCGACTGCTAAAGTCTAAAGACCCCTACGCGCAAGTGAATTAATGAAATAAAATTGAACCATATGTTAGATCCGAAATGACCTAGTTTGTGTCGAGTGGACGTTAACCCCACCCCCTCTCTCTCACTCTCTCTGCAGCGAGACTTATAAGGAGTTGGGTCGCCTGACCAACCTCATGGGTTTTCTCCGGGTCCTCCGGCCTTCCACTGATTTAGACCCCTATGCGCATGCAAATTATTGAAATAAAATTAAACCATATGTTAGTCCCAAAATGACCTAGAAAGCCCCCTCTCTCACTCTCTTACTAAACTGAAGCGGCATATGCCTCTCTACAATTAGTTGACCGACATTTTAAAGCCTAAATCGACGATTTTAGTCGAAAACACTATAAATACTTCTAGAATTTTGAAAAGTATTTATTCCGCATCCATTCAATGAAAATTGAAATGGTTTATGTGTACTTTGTGTGGCAGATGTCAAAATGGAGTAGAACCGCATCACAAAATAGTATGCTAAATTTTGGATATGACGGCCATTCAGGGTAGAGTTCTAACCCTGGACCTAGTCCAATGGCTTATCCCAAAAATCACGTACCCTAACCTTATTTATATCTCAGCGACTTTGACAAAAATCGAGCTGGCCTTAACAAATAGGTTTAGCCGCAACGCCGTGGTTCGCACGAATATATCTGCAAGGGGGAGATAATCCACTTTTAAAAATCCAAATGTTTCCAATTAAATCGAAAATGAAGGAATTCTTAAACATTTAATTTAGCATATTTGAAACATTATTAAATACATTAATTTATTCTATTAATACACCTCCAAGAGAACAATTGCACAAATTAACTTCTTTTTTTTTAATCGAGGGAAGGGAATCCATTAATTTTATTAAACCAAAAAAATGGAATAATAAGTCTTACTTACGTGAAGCATCATTAATTTTATCATCGTTAGTCCATTATAAAGAGAAATTATAGGAAATGAAAAATTTAATTATCCGTAAATTAAAATTTAAATGTTTTGTCAGGGGAGGTAACCCATTAATTTAATTCGAACAGAATAATGGAATAATGAATATTAAGGATGTTCAGAAGCATTATCTCTAATGCATTTCTGCAAAATCTTAGGTTTTGAGTCTAAATAAAACGGAAGGTGTAGGAGATGAAAATTTAATTATTGAAAACCATACGTTTTAGTTTTATCAGGGGAGGTAATCCATTTATTTATTCGGGTGCTGAGACAAATAATCATACTCTTGGAGATGATTATAGAAGAGATGATTTCTTTTAATGTTTTGTTCGTCAGTCCAGACTACCAAGGAAAACATTAACAATGAAATTATAATTAATACTAAAATCGCGATTCAGATTTGGGAAGGGCAAGTAACTCTTTAAATTATGAAATGGAACCAGACTACTAATTAAAGACAATGTTAATGTCATGTCATGTCTAAGCATATCCTCTTTTGCAAAATATTCCCATGGAATTTATTTCAGCATAGAGCTCAACATGTCATAATTCACACTGATCAGCAGGATGACATGATGCGACTTAATGAGCCACAAATATTAACTTTTTTCCTCCGACAAATTAAATTCTAAAACATTTTTTTTATGTAGACTATTAGAAAAATAAATAAAGCAGTTTTTGTAGGTAAAAAATATTTCCTATTTAGTGTAAATGGGTATTAAAATGAGTAAAAGGCACCATTCTGCCTGAACCAGTAATGTCTTATGTAAACAATGCACACGCCTTTGAGCTGATAATTAATGCTGTGTGATGTGACGTCACGTGTTGAAGGCAGTCATCTTTTACAGAGATATTAGAAGACTTTTGTAATCCTCTGTGAAACAGATTGGTCACAACTATCTGATAAATTGTTTGAAGGGGATTGCCTGATGTTATATTTCCTTAGGTGCTTATCCTTCCACTTCAATATCTTTTAATTATTCAGTTGGATCTAAACTTCACAAATCAGCAAAGATGTGTCACAATTATCTGATTGTACAAGCCTGGAAATAAGGCACCTGTCACTGACAATGTCAGGCACTGATTTGCCTTTTTTATTGATATTATTAATACATATCTGGCACTAAGTTGAAAATGTCAGGTACTATTTCATTAGTGTTTGACATTTTGTCGGTACATCTAGAACCGTTATTTCCAGGCCTGCTGATCAAATCTGGAAGCAGGGTTTGACATGATTGTTGATTCTAGGTCATTTTTAGAAGTGAATTCCTCTAAACAGACATCTGTTGACCTTCTCTCAAAATATTCACCAAAATCTGGCAGAAAATCAAAATTAAAATCCTTTTTTCGTCAATTATTCTGGAACAAATACCCAAATATTATCATAAACTTCCTTGTGCCCAACACTCAGAACAGCCAAAAAGATAGGTTGCCAGGCAATGAAACATACGCCCACAGCAGCTAAATCGTTCGGGCAGTCAACAAGAGTTGTTGCATATTTGTACTTTTGTCGGTAATGAAACATTTATAATACACTAAAGTCTGATTAAGAGTAACAACTCATTAAGTAATTATCAGAAAATCATTAGAAAATCATTAGGTTTCTTCATCTGATGACCTTAAAGACTTTAGCCTCTGGAGTGTGCACAAGATTTTTCAAAGTGATCAAGGGCCATAACTCTGGAAGTCATTATCGGAAATTAGTGAAAATCAATAGGCTTCTTCATCTCATGACCTTTATTACTGTGTATAAATTTTAAGTCAATTGGATTAACTGTGGACGCGTGACAGACAGACGGACGACAGACGGATGGGGGTGCAGATAATATAAAACAACATTTCAACAAATTGTGCTGATAGAATTGCTCTTTTAGATGGCCCTTGATTTTTCATCCCTTCTGAAAGCCTAGGCATCACTTTCCTTGTCATCCTGGACAAGTTGAAACAGGGCTTGAAAAATCCCATGGTTCTTCTGTGTCCATGACATTTTATTTGAGATTCAAGTCCTAGTTTTGTTTTGTCAGCTCATAAAATTCAGGTTTCTTTATTCAATGGTTAGTCATCATTTTATTTAAATATGTTTTTTATCAATTTTTTAATTAGCATAAATATTATACATAAATATTAGCATAAAAATTATACATAACTTTAATTACCAGTAAACATTCAAAAACATAACCAGGGATGCCAGGCAACAAATCATGCTCATAATTTTCTGTCATTAACTACTTAAAATTGACACACTTCGAAATCTGTCATTAACTACTTAAAATTGACACACTTCGAAATCTTTCCCAACCTGTTATTAAATTGTCTGCAAATATAATAAATCTTTGGAATTTGATACATACATTCAAAAATTATTGAAATTTCAAATAGTTCAGGTGTTAGCAATTATTGGGGGTTGGATGGTCGAATGGTTAACATGTGCGCGCTGTATCATAAGGTCTGTCATTGAGTCAACTGGCGTGGTTTTGATTCCCTGGTTGTATGTGACAAGGAGTAGGATTGCCTGTCCAACCTCGTAAGTTTTCTTTGGGTCCTTCGGTTTCCTCCCACTGCTAAAGACCCCTACGCACAAGCCAATTATTGAAATAAAATTGGACCATATGTTAGTCGTTGAATGACCTAGTTTGTGTCGAGTGGACGTTAAACCCCATTTATCTCTCTCTATCTTGTTAGCTATTATAGTCAATGAAGTAACTATTCGCCAACATGTTTGAGAGAAAGGAATGAGGTTTAACGTCCACTCAACACTAACTTGGACACTTTGGGACTAACATAATAATGGTGGTACAATTTGTTTCCATTATTCTCTACATGTAGGTAGGGGTCTTTAGCATTGGGAGGAAACCAGAGGACCCCGGAGAAAACCCACAAGATTAGGCAAGTGACTCTACTCCTTGTCACTACAAGGTTGGGATCAAAACCATTCCACTTGACTCAATGACAGATCTTATGATCTAAAGCACACGTTAGACTATTTCTATATTTAATAACAAAATTATAGTCTATGTACGTTCAATAGATCAGTGATTCTCAACCAGAGTGTCGATCTTCCTTACTGTGCCGCAAAATTTTGAACGGCACACTAAGAAAATGCGAAAAACCAAGTGACCCCAATTGAGTATTCACTGGTGTCTACTGATAAGCTGTGTTTTTCTTTATTTAGTTTGAGTCATTCTATGTGTCTATAACTAGTCTGTGTCTACGGTTGTATGCCGTCTGACTTACCATGTTTTTATTTTGCAAAATTTCAAATATTTTTCATAAATATTTAGCCAGGTGTGCCGCTATTTTTCCATGTGTTCTAAGGTGTGCCGGTGGCAAAAAAAAGTTGAGAACTACTGCATTAGATAAAGTTTAATTTTGTGTCAATGTACACATTGTGTTTGTTAAACAATATTTTATTCAAAATAAGAAAGAGACTGAGGACCTATAAGACCTCTCTGCTCTCTTCTAAAAGCACATGGCATTTGTTACATATGGCAAGAATATACAGGTAAGTTTAACGGCATGATTGTACTCCCATTAGAGTTGTTACTATATATAGTATCAGCTACAGAATGGTACCATCATATTACATCTGTTATATACATCAACACAACACTAACTTGGCACCAATCACAGATATTATCACATGTTGTCATAGTGATATATGATTATTATCCAATCGACAATAGTCTACCATAACTAACAATATCATAGATAGCAAAACAGTTCTTTTTTTTTCTCTATGAATAATAGAATAATAATTTAATCTTAGTGAAACTGCTTTGATTTAATCACATACACAGTTTGGTTGGACAAATTGTTGACCTTCAGTTGAAGTTGCCCAGTCCGTTCTAATTAATTATAATATATTTATAGTATTCATAAAGCAAAAAGACAAAAAAAAAACCAACACACAACCAATGCAGGATATTTGAATTGATATTCATGATTTCAAAATTCTTCAAAGCTAATCTAAAATTAATATAATTTAACCTGTCAATTTTGATTAAATAAATAGATTTAACTACTTAATACACATCATCTTATTGCCAAAGGAAAAGCATCTTCTCATTGGCTAAATGAGGGGGTCAAGTCAGGTGTATCTCTTTAAAGTCTGATTTGAATCACTTTGATTGGCTATAATTATTAAGAACAAGGATCTTTTCATTGGCTAAATGCAGGGGTCAATTCAGGTCAGTAGAACACAACTGTACTGTAATTACCAACAACGATATAACACAATAGAAATGATTTTATGTCATCATTAAAAAAAGATTTTAAATTCAATTCACACATTTCTTAATAATTCAACAGCCATTAATTATAATATATCTTTTTATAGAAAAATAATATATTTCAATTAATATTATCTATTCAAATTAATTTTTAAATTTGTCCTTAATTCAAAAGACAGTGTGGAACAATTAAACTAGTTTCTCTTTCAAACAACCTTAGTTGTTATTTTCTACTTAAGTCGCCACTCTTCGTTTCATAATTTGCTTTCAGTGAGAACTTGAGCTGACAATGCAGGAAAACCATCTTCAAATGCTGAGTTCAGGACGTCTGCCAATTTGGTAGCGAAAATAAAACACATGTCTTTCTGTAAATAGAGAGAATAATCTGGTAACCATGGATATAGTTGCTAGGTTTCCATTTAATTCGTGGAGTAATTATCATCTTAAAGATATCTTACATCAACATGGTAATCTAGTGCTCCTTTCAAAATTATTCATATTTGAAAATATGAGATTTAAACATACATTATGCAAGAGCTAAATCTGCTTATTGCAGGTCTTTCTTTAGGCCTAAAATGTTATCTAAATTATTAATTAGACATTAATTAACTAATCCGGACCATAATCAACTCTCGATGTCTCGCCAGCCTGCGATATTTACTGGATTGGAATCCGATCTGCTGCTCAACGCTCATTGATGATTAAATAAAAAAAATGGATGATCGCGACTATGCTTCTTATCGTACCGACTTTAGTAATAATTTTCGAGACTAGGCCTAAAATTCTTGGTTCTAAATGGATCAATTTGACTGAAATTTTCTGCAAATTCGCTTTACATTATCTAGTTTTTAACTATTATAGTGAGAATTGGCAACTCTTTATCTAATCTCCCATAATATATCTTTAAGAAAAATTAAAATTATAGTTAAATGGTGCTGCTACGGTAATATAGTACTCCTTTCAAAATTATTTATATTTAAAAATATGACATTTATGAAAAATCAAAATAAAATTATAATTTTATGGTGCTGCTATGGTAATGTGGTGCATCCTCCAAATATTATTTTTATGAATGAAATCTATATATATATATTTGTGAGAGAGAGAGGGTTTAACATCCACTTGACACAAACTAGGTCATTTTGGGACCAACATAATGTTCAATTTTATTTCAATAATTCGCTTGCATATACAGGTCTTTAGCAGTGGGAGAAAACCGGAGGACCCAGAGAAAACCAACAAGGTTGGACAAGAGACCCTACTCCTTGTCATGTACAAGTGGGGGAATTGAAACCATGCCACTTGACTCAATGACAGACCATCTGATCCAACGCCCACATGTTAACCATTTGGCCACCAACACCCCCAGCATTAATAAAAGGTGTTACATATTTAAGATGTACCAGTAATGATGGTACATATATGTTATACATGAGAGACTAGCATTTATATATAAATAACAACATATGTAATAGGTAGATTAAAATATGGTTCTTGTTATCCATGGTTTTAACATTATAGACAGATATATGTAGAACTAGACAAATATATGTAGACACAGACAGAGAGAGAGAGTTAACGCCTGGTCAACACAAACTAGGTCATTTTGGGACTAACTTATGGTTCAATTTTATTTCAATAATTTGCTTGCATATAGGGTTCTTTAGTAGTGGGAGGAAACCGGAGGACCCAGAGAAAGCACTGAGGTTGTGCAAGCAACCCTTTCGAAAATCATTGCTAGTCCCCATTGACATGCAGCTTGATTAGCTAAAGCATGAACTTGATTAGATAAAGCAATGAAGTCGATTAGCTAAAACAATGAACTTGATTAGCTAAAACATCTAGCTGCTTTCAATTTACATAACATAAAATATGTTTTTTTATTGAATTTTTCCTTTAAAAATTGCCAAGACAAGTATAGTTTTATTTATGTCACCACAGATCAAAATTGTCGTAGAAATGTCTGAAACAAAAAATAACATGCACTATAGACTGTAAACATGCTTTTTTTATTATGGCGCTATATAAAAATCCTAGGGGGGGTGGATGGCCGAATGGTTAGCACGTACGCGCCACTGTATCATAAGGCCTGTCATTGAGTCAACTGCCTGTCCAACCTTGTGGGTTTTCTCCGGGTCCTTTGGTTTCCTCCCACTGCTAAAGACCCCTACGCGCAAGCGAACTATTGAAATAAAATTAAACCATGTTAGTCCCGAAATGACCTAGTTTGTGTCGAGTGGACGTTAAACCCCATTTCTCTCTCTCTCTCTCTCTATATAAAAATTCATAAAGGCTTGACGCATCTTTAGCACTTTCACTAAAATATCAAATAACATGACTTAATACATGCTAAATATGTACTCAATTGGATTAAAAAACAAAAAGTATGCACTATGAAAATATGTTTTTTTTTATTATAAATTATCTCCCATGAACTGAAAAATACATGGTAGTGTCTATCTATTATGTAAAAACGAAATGTTGCATTGTTATTCCTAGTAAGACAAACGTCTTAACTACTGAGAAGACAAACGTCTTAACCATTAACCGGTCATTGTCGACTATAATCACCACAACGTTATACAGCTAAGTGGTCACGGTCGATCGATTAAAGTCGACCACAGCAAGAACCTTTTTGATAAGCCGCATTTGAGTTTTTAGTTACGTATTTAATTGATATGGCCACGCATGCGTGTCAGACAGGAATTTGTTTTGTCAAGGGCATTGAGAAAAACATGTCTTTGTTCAACATTATTTGACGAAAAACGTAATTTAACGATGTTGGGACGCTCGAAGTAGTTGAAATACTTATGAATGATTCCGACTTGGATTATATCGATGACACCGATTCTAAAGACGATATTTCTGATGAAAAGGACTTAGAATGATTTGCAAATTATAGATCAACTTATCCTCTTCAACATTTTATTTATTTAGCCTGACCACTGGACGCCATGACGTCAAAATGACGTCGACCGGTTAACTACTTAGATAAAAGGAAGCAAATACACAAAGTGAAGACGAAGCAATACTAGACGACAACAAGGCTATTAAGATAGGTTGGATGTTGCATTCAGTTTGACGACAGCCCGCTCTCCACGTCTGACAAAAGACCCATGGTACTACAAACTTTCACAAGTGTAGTTTGCTAGGGATTTCTATAGCACTAAATGATGAATCAAATGTTTTATAATAATAATAAGTTCTACTTACCCTGATGTTATCTGGTATTTCATGAAGATCTTTTTCATTTCTTTTTGGTAGAATAATTCTATTTATCCCGGCTCTATGGGCAGCTAGAACTTTATCTTTTATTCCTCCAACCTAGAATAATAAAAAACAATTCAGCTTTAACGTTCAGTCAACATATATTCGAAAAAATTTAACCTTAAAACAGTTCAATTTATAGTTTTTATGTGTAAAAATACTTTAAAATGTATTTAGGAAATTGGATCAAGAGTAAGCCCTGGTGGAATTTTTTTTTTTTTTTAAAAACAATATTCTTATTCAGGCTTAGTCTATGTAAGACCCCTCTCACTCCATTCAAATGCACTAGAAAATGAAATGAAATGAAATGGGTAAACGTCCTACTGTTCTGCTCCGACTGGGCTAATGAAGACGGGCATACACCATACAGTGCAGTATGAGGGAAATTTTGCCTGGGAAGCGGCGCTATGACCTACTTATATATCGAATTCCAACTGCCAAGAGAACTATTACGTGCACACCAATGTATATACGGGACCTTGTTTTTTTGTCCCATCCGAATGACAAGACAGCTGTCCTTGTCAGGCCCTCTGTCCTGTAACACTGACAAGGGGAAACCATGCCGGAAAATCCCGATGAACTTTCTCGGTCAATGCAGGGATTGAACACGTGACCTCCAGGCTAGTGAGCCAGCGTCTTACCCACTTAGCCACAGTGGCTCCCCGAATGCATTACAACTCACCGGTAAGACTAATCCTCTAAGAGTAATCTCCCCTGTCATAGCTGTATCTGATCGAACACATCTCCCACTAAATAATGACACCAATACTGTTGTTATGGTAACTCCAGCAGATGGACCATCTTTCCCAACAGCACCAGCAGGAAAATGAATATGGATATCGGTATTATTCAATAAATCACCGGTCAAATTCAAACTCAGCTAAAAAAAAAACAAACAAAGAGATTAAATTTAAGCCAAGAACTTTCTCAAATTTGATGAATTTTTTAAAAAGTAATTGTAAATATACATTTTGCACATTTTGCATCATAATCATCATTATCATCCCCATCATCAAATAAATTTAACCCTAAGGCACTTGCATCACCCAAAACCAAAGCTCCCTCAAAGGGCCCAATTCATGTAAATAGTACCAGTTACTACATCTCTCACTTAGGGGGTTAGGGTTAGTTTCAAAATGAGCCCTCAAAGTAAAAATCGTCATTTTTCTTTCAATTGTTCTAGGAACTGGAGGAGTTAATCAAAACTCAATTGATTATAAGAATCTAATATGCCATTAAAAACATAAAGATGATATATACAATGAGTTCAAATTTCCGTGCAGGACGGAGGATCTGGCAAGGACCGCTGTCTAGTCGTTCTGATGGTCCGAATAACTGAGGTCCCATGTACACATTGGCGTGCACGTTAAAGAACCATTGACAGTTGGAATACGATATAAGAGTAGGCCGTAGTGCCGCTGTCTGGGCAAAATTTCCCTCATAGTACACTGTATGGCGTATGCCTGTCTTCATTAGCCCAGTTCGGAGCAGAACAGCAGGACGTTAAACCCCATTTCATTTCATTTCGTTTTCAAATATCCAACCTCCATGCCGGGGGTGATCTCCCCAAAAGTGATCACCCCATACCTGATGCAGTTTATTTACACTTCCCCTGTGCATGTGCGCTTACTGTCTATTTATAGTAACTCTCAGAGTTAACAGTCATGTTTTTTTTCGACCAATATGAGAGAAATGGGGTTTAACGTCCACTCGACACAAACTAGGTCATTTCTGGACTAACATATGGTTCAATTTCATATCAATAATTCGCTTGCACGTAGGGGTCTTGAGCATTGGGAGTAAACCGGAGGACCCGGAGAAAACCCCCGAGGTTGGCATTGCGACCTTACTTCTTGTCACATACAACCTGGGAATCGAAACCACACCAGTTGACATAACAGTTAATAATTACATGCACCAAATGTTAAAGGATTAACCATTGCAGCTTGTGATATTAGACATACATTTTTATTTTTAGAAAAACAAAACTGAAACGGGAAGACCCCTCAAAAATAGTATGAGTATTTAGTACCTGTTTAGAATGTGCTCGAACCCAATTTAAAGCGAGATTAGCAGATTCTTTCATTACGTCCCCCAGTTGTCCTGTTAGAGTTAACTTTCCTTCTCGTTCCGTGTTTTCAACTCTTGATGCCTCTACGAACATGATCTCTCCACCCATAGCTGTCCACGCCAGACCCACGGCCACACCAGGTTGCTGTAATCTTTCTTTAGATTCCGGTTCATACATAGCAGGCTGGAAAAAATATTCAAGTCTGGTAAGTTAGGCGGCAATAAATTTTTTTTTTCTGTGTTTTTGTTTTTTCCAAAGGGTCACAACTCAGCTAAATGACTTCTATACATATCTATTAGTTGTTTATAGGAATATATGATTATCCAGTATCATCTATGATAGTCATTAACATTGATCAGGGTTGTGTACTTGATAAATGAGTCTATGGATTCATTCAAATTCTTCCTAGATTTACTTCCTGTAACCAGAATAAAATATTTACAAGGGGTAATTAATGGCCTACTATAGAGCTATACATACCCCAAGAATGTCTTCCAGTGCAGCATCATCAATAACTATTGGCATCTCGGGTGGATGAGCTAACGTAGACGCTGTATGGGAATCGATATCAGTCAGACTATCATTCAATATCTCCTTCTTGTCACCCTCTGACGCTTCCAATTTCTCATGTCGGCTTTTAGATATTCCTTCTGCAACCCGTACAGCTACAGCTCGACAAATGGCCGCCAAGCGCCTCTCTAATTTTCGTACTCCGGCCTCCCTTGTGTAGTTAGTAACTAAAATAATAAACAGAGCTGTTTTAAAAACATTTTCTAGCTTCAGGTTTCGAAATTTAGGGAGTCATGGTGGGTCAATGAGTAAGGCAATGACTTACTAACCAGGTGATCCCAAGTTCCTCAGAAAGTTCCCCAGGATTTCAGTGGCGCAGAAATGGCATCTTGTCGTTCAGATGGTCTGAAAAACTTTGGTCCTGACTCCTGTCTGTGTACACCTTGGCATGTAAGTAAAAAAAAGTTTTGACGGTTGGAATTCAATGAAGAGTAGGCCTTCGAAATTTCCCTCATAGCCCACTGCATGGCGTATGCCCACCTTCATTAGCCCAATAGGAGCAGAACAGTAGGACGTTAAACCCCAAATCATTTCATTTCCCTATAACATGGGTTAGGGTTTGGAACTTCACAACCAGATACATTATACATGATTAAACTGTCTGGAAAATCAACTACCGCTCATCAATGAACACGACCTCCAGCTAAAAAAAGAACGTGGCATACAGTCATAAGTCCTGTATTTTAATCACTCAACGACTACCACCTCCAGCTAACGTAAGAACGCTGCATACACTTCTAAGTATATTTTCCATGCATCATTGTAAAAATATCGTTGTTATTATTATTATTATTATTACCTATCTAATTAAAATACAGATCTATATTCCATTTCATTTTTTTTGTACTATCGATGGCCTACACTACATGAAGATAACAACTCTTCCAAATCCTAGTGTAGTAAAGACAAGTAAAACGAAATTTTGAACTATAAAAAACGAAACGAAATAGGATCTGTGTTTTATCAGATTGTATTAATTATTACCTATTATTTTGACGGTGTCTTCAGGTATCTGTAATTTCTCTTCACTCAATCCATGTTCCTCTAATTGTTTAGGTATTAAATGTCGTAAAGCGATGTGTATCTTCTCCTCCACGGTATAACCTGGTATCTGTATTACCTCCATTCTATCTAGTAACGCTGCTGGGATGGTAGCCATATTGTTGGCTGTTGCTATAAATAACACTTGTGATAGATCAAATGGTACATTCAGATAACTTCACTAAGTTAAGAAAAACAAATAAAACCTCGATGTTTTTTCAATTGACCCTATTTTCAAATTTGTGATTTTTTTCACTATACTGTGGTACAAAATGTATTCTAAAACTCTCCAGCAAAACATCGTCATTTTCACATATTTAAACATACATTATGCAAGGGCTAAATCTGCCTATTGCCGGTCTTTCTTTAGGCCTGAAATGTTATCTAAATTATTAATTAGACATTAATTAACTTATCCAGACCATAACCAACTCTCGATGGCATCAATTTTATTTCAATAATTCCCTTGCACGTAGGGGTCTTTAGAAGTGGGATGAAACTGGAAGACCCGGAGAAAACCCACGAGGTTGGAGAGGCGACCCTACTCCTTGTCACGTACAACCAGAGAATCGAAACCACGCCAATTGTCCTTCTAAAGACAATAGAACTGAAATGTACTGGGTATATGGTGCATCTCATGCAACCATGCAAGCTCTTTTCTCCCAAAGACAATAGAAAGGATACTGATCAACAAAACTATGATTTTGTTCAGGATCTAAAACCTCTAACAGAGCAGCAGCTGGATCACCATGGACACCTCGACTCTACAATAAAACAATTTAATTAAGATTTAAAAATCGTCTTTAAAGAATATGAATTTATCAGACTGAAAATGTTTTACAGTGAATTATGATATTGATATATACAGATTCCCCTATAGTTAATCTAGTCCCAAGACAAATGATACCCCCATAGTTAACAGGTCAATTGATTCCCCCATAGCAAACATAGCCCTAAGACACATGATGCATCCATAGTTAACATAGTTCCAAGACATATGATGTCCCCATAGTCGACATAGTTCCAAGCCACATGAAACAGCTATAGTTAATATAGCTCCAAGACACATGTAGTCACCATAGTTAATATAGTTAACATAGTTCCAAGACATATGATGCAACCATAGTTAACATAGTTCCAAGACAGCAAGACACATCATGCCCCCATAGTAAACATAGTTCCAAGACACATCATGCTCCCTAAAGTTTACATAGCTTCACGATACATCATGCCCATAGTTAATATAGTTCCAAGATACATCATGCCCATAGTTAACATATCTCCAAGACACATGCCCCCCCCCCACCTCCATAGTTAACATAGTTCCAAGAAACATGATGCCCCCATAGTTAACAAATCTCCAAGACACATTATACCCCTATAGTTTACATAGTTCCAAGACACATTATGTTCCCATGACTAACATAGCTCAAGACACATGTTGCCCCCATAGTTCCATGAAACATGACACCCTCATATTTAACATAGCTCCAAAGCACTTGATGCTCCCATAGTTATCATAGTTCTAAGACACATGATGCCCACATAGTTAACATAACCCAAGACACATGATGCTCCCATAGTTAACATAGTTCAAAGACACATGATGCCCACATAGTTAACATAACCCAAAACACATGATGCCCCCATAGTTAACATAGTTCTAAGACACATGATGCTCCCATAGTTAACATAACCCAAGACACATGATGATACCATAGTTAACATAGTTCTAAGACACATGATGCTCCCATAGTTAACATAGTTCTAAGAGACATGATGCTTCCATAGTTAACATAACCCAAGACACATGATGTTCCCATTGTAAACATAGTTCTAAGACACATGATGCCCACATAGTTAACACAACCCAAAACACATGATGCCCACATAGTTAACATAACCCAAAACACATGATGCCCCCATAGTTAACATAGTTCTAAGGCACATGATGCTCCCATAGTTAACATAGTTCTAAGAGACATGATGCTTCCATAGTTAACATAACCCAAGACACATGATACTTCCATAGCTAACACAGCTCTGAGACGTGATAGATTTAAAACAATCAGCAAATATAAATTAATTTCAAATAAAAACTATTTACCAATTTATCTATTTCATCAAAGAGGAAGACAGGATTGTTGACTCCGACTGTTTTTAAACCTTGTATTATACGACCTGGCATTGAACCTATATATGTTTTACGATGACCTCGTATATCAGACTGATCACATACACCACCTAACGCTATCCTAAAATATATAACACGTTAACCCTTTAAATACCAGATACTTGTAAATACTGAAATACAACATATTAACCCTTTAAATAGATGTAAATACTGAAATACAACATGTTAACCCTTTATATACCAGATACATGTAAATACTGAAATACAACACGTTAACCCTTTAAATACCAGACACATGTAAATATTGATTAATAATAATGATTTTATTTATCAATATTGCGATAATGATTTTTGTAAAATCGTCCAACCCTAGGTAAGAGTACTCTCATTGAAATGTCCAACTCCACTCAACACAAACTAGGTCATTTGGGGATTAACATATGGCTCAATTTTAATTCAATAATTCGCTTGCATGTAGTTAGCCGCAGGAGGTAGCCGGAGGACCTGGAGACAACCCATGAGGCTGGACAGATGACCCTACTCCTTGTCACGTACAAGCAAAGAATTGAAATCAGACCTTAAGATTTCAAGTGCATGCATTAAAACACTTGACCACCCATCACCCAGACAGTTTAGAGTTCTACAGGGAGCAGTTGATATGTTAGGGTTGTTGCTGGGGTCAACATTGTACAATTCTGTAATTCTCTAATATAGTTATTTGTATTCATAGAGTTAAGAAAGCTCTTTTTTCTAGTTCTAACAACTTACCTATGAAATTCTCTTCCTAATGTATTCGCTATGGATTTCCCTAAACTTGTCTTTCCAACTCCTGGTGCTCCAACAAAACACAGAATTGGTCCCTTTAATGTGTTCTTTAATTGTCTAACAGCTAAATATTCTAATACCCTCTTCTTTAATTTATCTAAACCATAATGATCTACATCCATATCTTTCCTGAATAATAATAACATACACCCATTAATTATCTCCCCTGACAGCCATTTATCTGCCCTAAACCACAACATATCTTTAAAGTTTAACCTTTCAAATCTTAAAATTATGGCTATATCAGTATTGTCCCAAAATAATGTCCAAAAGTATTCAAAAAAAAAAAAAAATCAATTGGCTATTTATTTTGAATACACAATTGATAGAAAAAAAAAAGAAGAAAAATGGAGTTGAAAAAAAGAAGATAAAAAGGAAAAAGGATTTATCCATATATAATTTTCACAACATTCCAAAATATTTAGTGGACTGACACCATTGGCAGAAAAATAATTACCTCCCTTGACACATCAAATTATCTCCCCTGATGAGTAACATTGTCCTTCAGGGATAAACTAACATTTATAATTCTTTTTACATACCTTGCTTGAACTATATCTAAAGCATCTTTTGTACCTTTTGACCAAGGCAGCTCCACCATTAACTCCAGGTAATTCCTAAAAAAAAGAAACATGAAATAAAATACTTTTATTCTGTCAATGGCTGTGAAAGAACGTTGATCTGAGAAGAGGCTTCCTTTGCTGTGGCATTGCCTGTCCATTTTATGTATGGTTGCCCAATCTGGTTAAAACACAGATCCTATTTTGTTTCGTTATTATAGTTCAAAATTTCGTTTTACTTGTCTTTACTACACTTGGATCTGGAAGAGGTGTTATTTAACTCATGTTCTGAATGGTGTCCGAGATAAGCCAATGAAGCGGTCTGTTACGGCGAGCTTTAGGCGTATTTTTCACGGAACTGTGGGTAATCCACTAGTAACATCAATGCTGATTGGTTAATCAAATGTCTGACGTCATAGGGTCATAAGTTGGTCTTTTGACCCCTGACGTGACCTATCACTATAACTTGTCAGATCTTCATGTAGTGTAGGCCATCGAAAGTATAAAAAAAAACGAAACGAAATGAAATATAGATCTGTATTTTAATCAGATTGTATGGTTGCCATCACAGATCTTGCATTTTGATTATAAAATTCCTTCTCGTCTTGAATATAGATTGAATACCTGATCATGGCGTGTTCTGGCATGTGTTGTGGCATCTTCTTTAACCTTTTTAATTCTTTCATGGCTGCTTTATGTGCTTCTTCAGACATCTTACTGGCTCTACCAAAAGAGAAAGTTCAAACATTTTAATAATCAAGCAGTGTTTTTCGTTGACTTTCGACATTTCATTCATACTAGTTACGATGTATTATGTGTGTGCACCACTGTGATTCACAGTGGCAAGGTTCTAGACCTGACAATAAATTACCTTATAAAGTACCCTCTCTCATCACGAGGCAAGCAGGGTCGAGAGATAAGGAATCTAACCTACTGCCTACTTTTCTTCGGGTGGTTTTGGATGGTGTAAAGAGCCCTAGTTATGGTGGTTTTGGATGGTGTAAAGAGCCCTAGTTACGGTGTTTTGGGGTGGTCTAAAGAACCCTAGTTAGGGTGATTTCGTGTGGTCTGAGGAGGCCTAGTTAGAGTGGTTTTGTGTGGTCTATGGAGGCCTAGTTCGGGTGGTTTCATGTGGTCTAAGGAGGCCAAGTTAGGGTGGTTTCATGTGGTCTATGGAGGCCTAGTTAGGGTGGTTTCATGTGGTCTAAGGAGACCTAGTTAGGGTGGTTTCGTGTGGTTTAAGGAGGCCTTGTGGGGGTGGTTTCATGTGGTCTAAGGAGACCTACTTAGGGTGGTTTCGTGTGGTCTAAGGAGGCCTAGTTTTGGTGGTTTCGTGTGGTCTAAGGAGGCCTAGTTAGGATGGTTTGGGGCCGTCTAAAGAGGCCTAGTTAGGGTGGTTTGGGGCTGTCTAAGTACTAAAGGGTTAAATCAATTACTTGATTTTTTGTTCCATGTCAACAATTTCATCCAAATCTTCAATTTCACCATCATCTTCATCTTGTAAATTTGGTGTGTTTAATTTACGAAAAGCTTGTCTCATGTTGATTGGACGATTTGATTCTCTCCGTGTAATTATTTCAACTTTACCATCTTTACGAGCTTTCTGTAGTAACTTTAAACCCTAAAATAGAGAAAAAGATTCCTGGAGGTTTATTGAGCTTTCTGTAGTAACTTTAAACCATAAAAATGAAAATGATTCCTGGAGGTTTATTGAGCTTTCTGTAGCAACTTTAAATCCTAAAATTGCAAAAGGTTCCTGATGATTTATCACAATAAAAATCATTGACTGAATTGTTCGTTGTTAATGTCTGGTTTCCTCCCACTGCTAAAGACCCCTACGCGCAAGCGAATTATTGAAATAAAATTGAACCATGTGTTAGTCCCGAAATTACCTAGTTTGTGTTGAGTGGATGTTGAACCCCATTTCTCTCTCTATCTCTCTTATTGTTAATGATTAAGTAAAAATAAAAATGCAATGAAATTGTGTTAAACGCACTACTTTTCTGTACCAACTGGGCTAATCAAGACAGCATACTTTGGGCAATGATGGGAATTTGACCTGGACAGCAACGTTTCTGCTTGTGCTGGCCCAATATATCGTTGAATCGATTTGTCATGATTCACGTGAGTAAGTAACCTTCCGTAAGTAACCTGTCCCTCTTAATTATCCACGTCACACATTATCCATAGGTACACAAACACTCTCATATTATTTTGGTTCTTATTTTGATCCACATCAATATCATGATATAAAACAGTTTTATTTCTTCGACATCAGCAGGACTAATATGGTCACGTTGGTAGTTGGCTTTGTATTGCGTCCAATGGAAAGGGCGCGGTTCGGCTCCCTTTCCGACTAGCTACGGGCCTGATGACTCCCTCAGAAAAACAAAATGAAAGTAGAGAAGAAAAGTACACCAACCTCTATCTGCCTCATGAGTAATGGTAAGGCTTTGTTAAATCTTTCTGTTAAATCTATGGCATCTAAAACTTGGAGTTTCTCATTGTATGAAGATTTTACAATCGCTGCACAAACGTCTGGTAGATGTTGACTTGGTAAACTCTCCAGCATTCTCTTTAAAAAAAAACAAAAAAAAACCCAAGTGAAAAGTGAGACTGATGTCACTCTAAATTAATCCCCAAACTAGCCAACACTGAGACTGATGTCACTCTAAATTAATCCCCAAACTAGCCAACACTGAGACTGATGTCACTCTAAATTAATCCCCAAACTAGCCAACACTGAGACTGATGTCACCCTAAATTAATCCCCAAACTAGCCAACACTGAGACTGATGTCACTCTAAATTAATCCCCAAACTAGCCAACACTGAGACTGATGTCACTCTAAATTAATCCCCAAACTAGCCAACACTGAGACTGATGTCACTCTAAATTAATCCCAAAACTAGCCAACACTGAGACTGATGTCACCCTAAATTAATCCCCAAACTAGCCAACACTGAGACTGATGTCACTCTAAATTAATCCCAAAACTAGCCAACACTGAGACTGATGTCACTCTAAATTAATCCCCAAACTAGCCAACACTGAGACTGATGTCACTCTAAATTAATCCCAAAACTAGCCAACACTGAGACTGATGTCACTCTAAATTAATCCCAAAACTAGCCAACACTGAGACTGATGTCACTCTAAATTAATCCCCAAACTAGCCAACACTGAGACTGATGTCACTCTAAATTAATCCCAAAACTATCCAACACTGAGGCTGATGTCACATTCACCCTCACCCCCTACCCACCCATTCCCAACAACATAGAGAAGTTTGACATGGCAGTGGCATTACCCCATCCCCCAACATTGTATAGAAGTTTGACATGGCAGTGGCATTACCTCCCACCCACCCACCCACCCATACCCAAAAACATAGAAAAGTTTGACATTACCCTTCTTTGAATTCTAACTCAAACATATCTTTTATATCAACTCACCTTTAGTTTAGCTACAACAGGTATTGATACATCCAACATCTCAACAAGTTTAGCTGCTTGTTCTCGAAAATTCTCGGCCAGAGAATTTAATTCTTCATCGGATGTATCATACACTGAAAAATAACAGATTAATTTTATCACCGGTATTTCAACAGCAAATCATGGTTGACACAAATAAACTTTGCGCATTATTTTCATATTTTTTATTAATGAAGATTTTTCATCCATTCATGGCATTAACATCACAGCTATTTCAGCTCTTTAGTTTTACCCCTGCTTGTATTTTCGTCTTCCCTTCTCTTCTTGTGGTTAGTCACAATTTAAAGTCTGTATTAAATACAACCATTATAATAGTTCAAAAATAGATAATGCAAAATGAATATATTGAAAATTTCATTCAAATTACTCTATTGCGTGAGAAAATATTAGCCTTTGAAGGTTTGACAAGATGTGTGCATTGATTGTAACCACCGTATTGGTTGTTCGAAGCTAAGCTTCGCTTCTCCATCTTTAACTTAAATCGAAATATGGCTGAACTGTTCTTGTCTACATGCACTTAATATCAGAGATATCCGATGGCATCGGGAGTTTATTATGGTCTTGTCATATTAATAAATGTCTAATTAATAATTTCTGGCCTGACAATAGGCATATTTAGCTCTTGCACAATGTATGTTTAAAGATACATTATGGGAGATTAGATAAAGAGCTAGCAGTTCTAACTATAATAGTTAAAACACTAGATAATGTAAAGGGAATTTGCTGAAAATGCCAATCAAATTGATCCACTCTGAACCGAGAATTTAGCAATTGAATTTTGGGCTTAGCCTTGATTATCATTACTAAAGTTGGTACGATAAAATACATAGTCTCGATTATCCATGTCTTGATTTAATCATGAATGAGCGTAGAGCAGCAGATCGGATCATAATCCAGTAAATATCATAGGCTAGCGATGGCATCGAGAGTTGATTATGGTCTGGATAAGTTAATTAATATCTAATTAATAGTTTAGATAACAGTTTAGGCCTAAAGAAAGACCTGCAATAGGCAGATTTAGGCTCTTGCATAATGTATGTTTAAGAAATCTATATAACAAGTTGGCATCAATCAAACCAATAAACTAATCTATATTTGATTAATAAGACGGTAATCCCCATTACCTTTATCATCAGCAACTAATTTATCAAGTTGAGTAACCGTAGCAACAGGATACGGTGATTCCTGTAGTAATTTGTCGACTTTAAATCTACACAGCCCAGTTACGAGTAAAGTATAAGCTGGGCGGGGCCAGTTGGTTCCCGTTATCTGTACAACTACTGCTGCTGTTCCGATTGGATGCAGACTTGTAACTTCTTCGTCCTGTACAGGTGATCAAAATCAGTTAAATAATCAAAAAAAAACACGAATTACAATTCTTGTATTAAATCATAGTCAACAAAAATTATCAATTGCATTATTTTGAATTTAAGCATGGTTTAAGCTGTTAAAAAATGAACCCTGAATTAAAGACACATTATACAATGGTAAGCTACATAACACAGTCAGGAATGAAAGCAGTTTATTTCAACGGCCAGACAAATCGAAATGAAAATGAATTGTGGTTTAACGTCCTACTGTTCTGCTCCGACTGGAATAATGAAGACGGGCATATGCCATACAGTGTGTTATGAGGGAAATTCTGCCTGGACAGTGGCACTACGGTCTACTCTTATAACTAATTCCAACTGTCAAGGAATCTTTTATGTGCCCTCCGATGTGTACAGGGGAAATCTGTTTTTCATCCCATCCAAACAGCTAGAGAGCTGTTCATGTCAAGGCCTCCTTCCTGCACCACGGATAAGGGGAAATCATTTTGAAAATTCCTGATGAACTTTTTCGGCCAACACAGGTATCGAACCTATGACCTCCAGGCTAGCGAGCCAGCATCTTACTCACTTTGCCACAGGGGCTCTGCCAGAAAAATCAATATATATCTTTTGAAATAGATGTACAGCATAAAGGGAAATTTGTTTTACGATGAATGAGGGAGAATCAGGTTATTGTATATACTGTATAAATATAGTGCTATATAACTATCCATAGCAGTTACCATTTTTTTTCCAGTATGGGCTTCCCTATGGGTTATCTTTCGAAATTGTTTTTTTTCGTTTAGCAAATTTTGTACAAGTGCCGAGAGAACAAAGCAGCTATACCGGTTACCAGCTTGATTTTGACTCAAAACAAGTTCAATAAATTATTATATTAATATATTACTTACATCTAGTTCGGCCTTCTGTTGTTTTGGTATAACGCCTATAACTGTGCTACTTAACGTATTCCTTCCTAGAAGTCGACTTTTTATCATATTCATACTGAAATATTAACAAAATAATACAGTACCATGAGTTGTTATCATAATCAATCTATTTCATATTACCAAATCAACCCCCTGCAGATCAAATATTTTTCTGAATATTCTAGAATTCTTGTCATCTTAACTAATCTGCGAATCATGATAAACTTTTTTGACAACACAGAGATTTAACACGGGACCTTCAGGTAGCTATAGCCTACTCCCTGAGCCACTGTGACTCACTTCGGAAAAATAACTACTAAGCCAATGATTCCATCTAAAATGAAAACAATATTAGTATAATTGTCTGTCTACACATAGCCTAATGGTCTTGGATGACATGTGGATACATCCATTTATCATGAATTATGTCATAATATTTTGTGGTTAATTCATATTCCTGAAGCAATGGCCGCAGAAAAATCCATCTCTGGCCATTGCTGGATTGACTTCTGATACTTGCGCTTTTGAGGGAGTGTGTCTATTCTTCCCGTTCAATCAAATCTATCCTAAGTACAGCAACATGACAGTCCTTCGTTAATCTGGGGGTCTTCCCTGAAACTTTGGACAGTTATTAAAGGTATTAAAAACGGTGAAAGTATTGTTTGTCTCCAAACAGTATTGTTTACATTGTAGCCGTTTTTGATAGTCACGTTTGTCACGCAATTAGTTTTTCTGCAATATTATGTTATGTACAGGCTAATTGAGCGTAATAAATTTCTGGATCATTGAGGTAATGTTTATGTTATGTAAACATATTTGAAGCTCGAGATTTTAGTTTAATCCTGAATGATATTTACGCTGTTCAGTTAGGTATTGGTTATTAATCGGACTATTGAACAGTCATAATTTGGAACAGAAATTTGCTTTCTTTACGGCAGTGTTGAGTGGGATTAGGTCTAATCAAACGAAACACTGCGATGGGGTTAATTTTAATCTTCTTGTTCTTCAGTACTGACTTCAGCGACGGCAACTCTACTGTCTCTGGTTCAGCTGTGAAGGTAAAGGCAGATCCAGCATCTGTAAGAGATAATATGTGACAATGACAATTATGAATAATTACTTTCTAATGCTCCTGACAGGAATTCGCATCGAAGATCCTGGCAACAGAACATTGTCGGTGACTAAAAGTAACGGTAAACGTCTCGGAATGGTTATCGATGAAGCCATTTTCATAACATAACCTTTGGTCGGTCGGTTCACTGGTCAAGGCCGCGAGGTCAATTAACGATTGTCGTAAAAAGGGTAATGATCAAAATACTATTATTTCTCAAATATTTAGTGATTAACATCTGTGTATATTTATAAAATCCGACAGATGCCACTAATGTTATAAACTGACATCAAAATACTTTGGAAAAAATAACGACATAGACAAATTAGTGTCTTGATAATCCAGACTAGACAATTTAGTCGGCTCCTTTCCTTTGATTTAATGGTACGTTTATTATTTATTGCTTATAAAATACCGCGTGTTATTTGTGCGATGTGGTTTGTCTTCCGAGTTTCTGTTTGGCTGTTACTATGTATGGTGCGGTTCTCCTGCAATAACTCATCGTGTAACGCCTGGGCAATTACGACTACAACCATCTGTCATTCGCAGGTCACATGATTTTGAAATGTAAACAAATGGGCTGTCATTGACTTGTGACTCGAGTTAGATAATCTTGATGCAAGTCGAAATCTAGAAGGCAACAAACAAGGAAAGCGTGTTACTGGTTATTTTCTGTGTAAATCCGTCTAGAAGACTTTAAATTTAAACATGGCGTCTTCAATACCAATCGAGGTAAGTTGAGATGACATCAACGACTTCAGTTTTTGCAAGTTCGATCAGTTAAAACATTAGTTCAAGTTGTCAAACCCTATTATATAATGTCCTTGCTATAAGGATATATATATATATATATAAAAAAAAAAAAATAGACCTTGTAGATGTCATACCATTTTTGTTGGTATATTTAGAAATTTGACAACCTATAGCAGTTTACAAGTGATAAAAAAAAAAAAAAAAAAATACACAAATGATATTCAGCGGGGCGGGGGGGTGCCTACACATTAATTAATTTCTTAAAAATAAAATGTTTTATTTTTCAGGTTGTAACCCATATATTTAAATATTTAGCTGTTTCTGATCGAAAAGAAGCCTCCCTTGTTTGCCGCTCCTGGTACGAAGCCTCCTTAGATCCAAGTTTACAGAAGGACATTGTCGTCAATTTTCTCGGAAATATTTCATCTCAAGATGTTTCGGAGGGTTTGGTTAGGAGAAAACTCACCCACCTCGTTCTCAATCAAATCGAGAACACACTGAGCTCGAATGAAAATTTGATCCAGTCATGTCAAAACCTCAGCCAAGGTTTAAAAAGTTTATCGCTGAAAGGAGCGAATATCACGGAGAAGACATTTATATCGCTTGTGTCGCATTTTACAAATTTAGAAAATTTAGATCTCACTTGCTGCAACTCCTTGTTCATGTCCGGAAAAATTCTAGAAAAGCCTTCGGATGTCGAACTCTTGAAACATTCCTTAAAGAACGTTAAGACCTTGACACTTTCCTCCATTCGATTTTTATCCGATTCCACGTTTAACAGAATTGTATCCGTTTGTCAGAATGTACAAAATCTTTCCATAGCGTCTGCTCAGATTACTTTCAACAGCCACGCTTATTATCCAGAGGACACAAAGGTCTGTGATAGCCCGGCCATTTTTTCATTCCGGAACATTTTATTTTTCTTGCAAAAGCAGAAAGAAAAAATAAAGTCGCTGAATTTGAGTCGCATTTCCATAACGGATCCGTTTCTTGCTAAAATATCCCACGTGGAAGGATTAAACTTGAAAGAATTGATTCTAATTAATTGTCGAGACTTAACCAGTGAGGGAATAATCGAGATGTGTTCAAACCAGAAAAATATCGAGAAAATAGACGTCAGCTATTGTATTGATGTTGGAGATCGTGGCCTCCTGGCCATTACGTCGAATTTAAACAATTTAAAGACATTGATGACAAAGAAATGCCTGCGTATTTCGGATGTTTCTGCGAAAACGCTTAAAAATCTCCCCTGTGTGGATGTCCTGGATTTGTCTGAGTGTTATAATTTGACGAGCGACGGATTGATTCAGGGTTTGTGTAGCGGAATCCAGAGCCACCTGACCCACCTGAATCTGCGATGCTGCAGTTCCTTAACAGACGACTTAGTTGTTGAATTATGTAAATACGTTCCAGGACTACAATATCTGGACTTAGGTTCCTGTTTTCCCTTGACAGATTTGAGCGTTCAAAGTATCTCGAAGAACCTAAAGAATTTGAAGCATCTCTGCCTGACATGGTGCAAGGAAATAACCGATCTGGGTTTGATCGGATTTGAAAATGTCGATCTGAACATGGACACACATGCCGACCACGGAGACCATGGCCAATGTCGCTGTACACGTAGAAAGCACGAATCCACCATATTCCGTAAACCTACGGGAGAACTTCAGAAGAAAAAGTTGGCATTAACTCAGTTGGAAGCCCGAGTAAAAACAGAAGAGCAAAGATGCCGCCTGAATAACATCGCTGGTCTTCAATCTTTGGATTTATCATCGTGCGAGAAGTTGACAGACGTCAGTGTCAAGGAAGTCATAAGATTCAGCGGGTTACGAAGTCTCAACTTGTCGTCTGTTCACGGCCTTACTAATGCCAGCGTCATCGCAATCGCTAAAGGTAACCCAAGCTTGGAGGAGATCCAGTTTCAGCAGTGTCCAAAAATTACAGATTCCGCCATGGAGGTTCTGATCGAAAGATGTCCACGGTTGACTTATATCAATGTGGCTAGTTGCGATCTCTTGACAAACGTGACGCTTTATAACATTCAAATGAATTGCCATCGTCTACGCCATCTTGACGTATCTTTCTGTAAAAATATGACACCTGAGGGCGTGGATAAATTGGAAGCGAGTATCAAATGTTTGACGAACGTACAGAGGAGATTGGTTGGAGCTTTTTAACCAGGATGTTGATATAGGAATATTGTTCGATATATTTTTGAACCAGGAACTGCTTGCATAGACTTCGTTATCTTCTTGGCACGATGCTCTGCCAATTTAAATATAATCAATAAAAAATTGGACAGACTTGTTCTATGGACAATTGTTCATCGAATGACGGACATCGATTTTGGATAATGTTGTCATAATTCCAAGATGGCTCCAATGACGACATGCTCAGTTCCTAGCACTGGGCAAACCTCCGCAGATTCCAGTACCTTACATCTAACCTCGGCTGTATGACGAAGTCTGCCATTGGAACTACTTTCAAGTTCCCAGATTACCAACAGCGTTGATCCTGGCAACGCCTTTGAAGAATGTTTTATCATACAAATATTTCAAAGTCTGAAGCTGTTTTTTCTTTCAAGTTTATCCGATTTTCTTCAAACTAGTACAACTTTGCAGCGAAAATTCTACACACGCTTCAAATGACGCAATTTTGATAACTTCTTTTTAAAAGTGGTATGTTTTCCTAATAAGTAAACCGGTGCCATATCGCAATTGTGTAGTCGTAGGTACATATCACTTACCGTCATACAGCCGAGGCTAGATGTAGAGTAACGGAATCTCTCGAGGTTTGCCGAGTGAGTTCCCAGGTAATATTATTGTGATTATTAGGTATAAATTAAATATTTTTATTTTTGTGTTGAATGGTAAATTTGATGCATACACATACAATAGTCAGTATATCGTAGTGCTAAAAATTGAGGATGATTATTGTGACAGCCTACACGTACGTGTCATTTAATTCAAATATATGTTATAGGTTTAAAGTATTGATACTATGACATTTGTAAATGTATAAATTTGTATGATATATATTTTATGTAGTTCTTTATTCCAGTGATATTCAACTAAAAATACTAACGTCTTTCACATCAATTGTTTCGGTGGCATTTAGTAATTAAACCCGGAAGCCTCCTCTATTTAACTGGGAACAGCCTGATTATATGGTTGTCATTGTGAATATATCGGTGCTGCAGCATCTGGGGGTGTGTCTCTGTTCTCTGCATTTGATTGGCTGCGTACTTCACAACCTTCAAAACTATGGAATAATGTTGGGGAATGCTAAATATATACCAGTAGGGGAGATTTGTGATTTCCAGAGTTCACAATGGCCGCTTTATGTAAATGAGTATTTTGGGAAACATTAACTAGAACCCTTTTAAGAGGAGTGAAAAGGGAATTGGATCCAATTTCAGTCTCCTAAAATGGTTAGGATTAGTATTCCCCCAAATACTCATTTATATAAAGTGGCTAATGTGGACTCTGGAAATTCGCGAACCTCCCCAACCGACCTACAATTAGAAGCTCCTAATAGCCTTCCTTTTAAAGGCTCAATACCACTCTTGTTGTAACTGAATAATATGTCCCAATCTTTATTCTGGTCAACAAATTGCACTATTTTACAATATTCCAATTAATTGATGATACAAATTTCATCTTAACACACCTAATTTAAAAAATTGGAAAAATTCAACTAAATGATTTGAAAAGCCTAATATAGACCTTTTCAAATGTGACTTAATTGGATTTAAAAATATTTTCGAACCCTCTGGACAAGTAAAATGGGATGTAATGGATAATTTACACAACAGGTAGGACACTAACACATCTAGTACTTAGAATAAGGCTATTATTTATTTTCTGGAACTGTCAAGCCAGCAAGAGTGTTATTGTCCCTTTAATTTGCACCAATCTATAGCCATTTTTAAGAAAAAAAAGAAAAAACATTTAGTTTTAGAGGCTTTCAAATAATATTTATTTACTTTGTTGTGTTTTATATTCATCTTTTTAAAATTGTTTATTTTATTTTAAATATTTTCACCAGTTAGATATTTTGTAAACCCGGTTATTTATATAATGGTCCTACAACAAAATGTTGACCATCGTATCACATAAACCACGAAACATTGTATAATATTTGTTAATACATGTAATGTTAACCTTCATATCACGTAAATGGCGAAACATCATATGATATTTGCTAATATACAATACATGTAATATTGACCTTCATATTACGTAAACGACAAACAGTCATATGATATATGTTAATACATGTAATATCTTTAAAGGGAATTTAGGGAAAGTAATATTTAATAACAGATGTTATTATTAAATAACCAATTTTAGTACATTAAGCGTGGATTAAGTTGTGAAAATCAGATATTGTACAAAATGCAAATATGACTATTATTGGCTTGAATGTCTCGCAATAACTCACATGGAGCAATTAATGAATTAGATATAATTTTATTGGACCAATTGAAAGTCTACATTACCAGAATATGTATCCTTATTTTCAAGCCCGTACAATCTGATTAAAATATGGATCTATAATATTTCGTTTCATTTTTTATATTTTTGATGGCCTACACTACATAAAGATCTGACCAGTTGTACTGGAAGGTCGCGTCAGGGGTCGTATGAGCGGCTTTTGACCCTATGATGTCAGACATTGATTAATCAATCAGCGTTGACGTTTCTAGTGGTTTACCCACAGTTCCGTGCATGGCACACTAAGAAGTCACCGTAAAAGACAGTTCCATTGGTTAATCCTTCACGCCATCCAGAACGGGGTTTTATAACAACCCTTTCAGATCCTAGTGCTGTACAGACAAATAAAATGGAATTTTGAACTATAAAAAACAAAATGAAATAGGATCCATGTTTTAATCAGATTGAAGCCTGGACATACATTTGTAAACCACCTGTCACAGATTATGTCAGACACAAATTACTACACAACATTTGTATTATAATATTTACTTTGAGTGATAATTTGTCTCAGACAGGTGCCCTATTTCCAGGCTTGGTTGTTTTAATGCTTGCTTGTTTTACTCATGGTTTTCTAAGGCATTTTTTTCTGCATAAAATCAAAGTTGATATTTAAAAATAAACACACTTATATGGATATACTACTTCGGAATTTTATTAACATGCTACATTTCAATAAACATACAGGTATCGTTATCAAGCATTTGCTATTCAGGTATCGTTATCAAGCATTTGATAAAATTCAGAAGTAGTATATCCATATCAGTGTGTTTATTTTTAGTGAAATCTATTTCTATATGTATTATAAGGAAAAAGTTGATATTTGCCATTCAGGAGCTTGATTTCAACAAGCTTAACTGTTCATACATGTATCTTCAGGTCTCGACTTTTATTTTGTTTTTACCTTAACAAGGAAATTTGACCGATATTTATTATATTCATGTTATCGTAAATGTACATATTTATTAGGCACAGGAAAGTTCCCCATATCAGTGATAGGACAGAGGGCCTGCACATATTGTCTACAGAAAGTTCCCCATATCAATGGTAGAGGACAGAGGGCCTGACAAGGAACGTCATCTATTCTTTCATATGGGTGGGGTGGATGGTTAGCACGTGTATCATAAGGTCTGTCATTGAGTCAACTTGCGGGTTGATTCCCCGGTTGTGTGTGACAAGGAGTAGGGTCGCCTGTCCAACCTCGTGGGTTTTCTCTGGGTCCTCTGGTTTCCTCCCACTGCTAAAGATCTGTACGCATAAGCAAATTATTGAAATAAAATTGAACCATATATTGGTCCCGAAATGACCTAGTTTGTGTCAAGTGGACGTTAAACCCCATTTCTCTCATATGGGATGAAAATAACTTGACATGCACATTAAATAATCCTTAACAGTTGGAATTCGACGAAGATTAGGTGGAAACGCCACTGTCTTGGCAAAATCCCCCTTATAGCACACTTCAAGACATATGCCCAATTGGAAAATAAATGTAGGACGTTTAACACCATTTCATTTGTATACTTATGTAAATTCTCATCACTAAAACAGAGAACAAAAAAAAGTTTAAATTTGAGATGTTATAATTTTTTCAAAACAAAAACTCTGCATGTAGGCTGTACATGTATTTATAAAGATTATTTCTTCACCCAGATTTTGTTTTTGTAAATAAGGTATTTAAAGATTCTCCATTTTGTTTTTTTGCTACATGCCAGTCTAACCACAATAATTATTTTATAACCAAATTAAGTTTTTTTTAAAATTTTATTTATAAATTTTTCCCCCCTCTCACAGTTAAACTTTTGTTCTATTTCTTTAAAGAACATAATAAAGTGTTTAGGAAAATGAATATGGGAATCCGCCATACAGTGAGCTCTGAGGGATGTGCACGTCAAGCAGTACATCATTCGTTCGTATACATCCACATCCACCAAGAGTGATATCGTAGACAAGAGCAGTACATGGGAGGGCCCCCGTTTTACGTCCAACCCGAACCACTACACCCCTTTTCTTTGCCAAGCCCTCCTTCCGGCAGCAGGCTGAATAATTGTGAGACAATTCTCAGCCTATTAGAATATTGATATTTTGTAAACATATGAAATTACGGACAAACGGTGCACTATAGATGTAGGAGCTTGCATTGCTTGCATCAGTAGAATTTGTGAAATGTTTAAATAATTAATGACTGAGAATGCATACTATTTAATTGACATTAAATATTAAAGATACATCATGTAAGATTTGGATAAATGAAATGAAATGAAATAGAGTTTAACGCTGTACTGTTTTGCTCTGACTGGGCTAATGAAGACGGGCTATGAGGGAAATTTTGCCCGGACATCGGCACTACGGCCTACTCTTATATTGAATTCCAACTGTCAGGGGATCTTTTACGTGCACACCAATGTGTACATGGGACCTCGGTTTTTCGTCCCATCCGAACGACTAGACAGCTGTCCTTGTCAGGCCCTCTGTCCTGCATCACTGACAAAATCTGGATGAATTTTCTCGGCCAATGCAGGGATCGAACACCCAACCTCCAGGCTAGCGAGCTATAATAGTTTAAAAGTAGTCAATTAAAAATGAATAAAAGTCTTGATTATCAATTATATTGTTAAATTTTTAAATCTTATACTATTTAATTGATATTAAATATTAAAGATGCATTATGTAAGATTTGGATAAAGTGCTGGTAGTTCTTGCTTTAATACTTCAAAAATAGATAATGAAAAATAAATAGAAGTCTCAATTATCCATTTTATGGTCTAGAGAGTTGATTACAGGTTTGTCATGTAAATGTTTAAATAATAGAATAA